GGAAGGAATTAAGCTTTCTGAATGAGTCAAATTAGTATCATGTGATGAAAATAAGTTAAAACTGTTCTGAAAATTACAGCTATATTACATTTGGAATGAGAACACAAGCAGAGTTTAGAAAAACATACTGACTTGGTGAGAGAAAAACAATAAATCATCAGCTCTGAGTGAAAAAAATGAGAACCAAAGTCCCTGAAACAGACAATGGGAGTAGTTTAAAAAGCATGTGTGAAATTCTCACATTGATTTTTCTCCACTAGTTTAAATCAAAATTGTAAGAGACACCTGAGCTCAGTCTAGAAGGCACCAGCGGAGAGTGATTTCTATAGAAAGCATGTTATAAACAGCACAGAGGGGGAGCACAAATCTTGTCATTGACACAACAGTCAGAGCGAGCTTGTGGCTGCATATGTGTGTGAGTGCCTGCCAGCTTCCAGTCTAGCGCTATTGTCTAACAAGGTCTAATTAGCACTATGGCAAAATGAATTAGCATAATTATGCAAACAGGGCTGCGCTAAAGGCCTGGCACAAGGGAAGGCTACAGGGGGCACCTATTACAACACACATATACACACGTTTAAACGTGCATATAAACACACACAGATCTGCTAGAAACACACCAGAGCATGTAGAAAATAGTTATATATTGCTTTAAAATAAAACTACACAAAACAAAAATAAAGAAAAGGAATGGAGTTAATATGCTGTTACTGTTTCCACTTCTTTATAAATAAAGCCACCTGACAGAAACCGTCCTTATATCGCCACAAACAGAAATGATCAGCTTCCCACCACGCTGCCTCTCAACACTGAGGCAGTCAGGGCTTATAGCATTTACCAGCAGGAGAGATAGGTGAAGTCAGTGGGAGATAATAGAGATGACTGAGAGGGTGAAAGGCTGGTAGCCATTCTCACGATGACAACTGTAGTGAAGAAGGCTCTATTAGGTTTCATTAGGATGCTGGGCTCCTGATTACACAAACGCAGCTAAGCTTTCATCGCTTCAAGCAGATGTTTGTCATCTTAGTACCTGCCAATGCCAAACCCTAAACTTCACTGAAAAGTAATCAATATTTCATCCACATTTTCTCAAAGAGAAAAAGGAAAATTATTTCAAAGTGCACGTATTTATCAACGGGGTCTATGGATTATATAACAGGTTTACCATGACAACATTTCAATAGCAATATAGTTTTTAATTATTTTAAACATGTAAATTTATCCATAGTCATTAAAACACAATGTGTTACACTGTTTTCTTCAGACATAATAATGAAAGTAAAGAAATTTAACCCCAAAAGGAAACTAAGAGTTAAATATAACTGCATAACTTTTTTTCTTCATTAGACGTGATTATATAAGACTAAAGTTTTTTATCATAGGTCAGTTAGGAATTGGAAAGAATTTATTCTTTTCTAAATCCCATAACAATGAGAAAGATAATTTATTATCACTTTATTCAGGTGATCTTACAGATTTTCATTATTAAAAATAAAAAATGCAATGGGGTTATTAACATAAATGAACAAAAACACCTGATCTAAATAGAAACAGAAATATTCCTACTAAAGCAAGAGCAATACAAAACTTTTTTATTACATTTATTACATTTATTTTAATATACAGATTTAAAATAAAGTATTAAACACGCTTCACATAAAGAATATCACATGTTAGACTTAGACTCAACTTTATTTATCCCTTGGGATTACTCCTGCAGGGAAATTCTTATTCCAGTAGCTTATATAGAGTACAAAGAGTTAAAGCAAGATGCAATTAAAGATAAAAAAAAAGACAGACAATATAAAAAGAGTGTGTATAGTACCAAAAAAGCATAAAAAAGAAATACGTTGTAATATCCTTGAATATGTTTCCCTTAGATATAAAAATATCTGCACGTTCTAGTTACAAGTCTAAATAACTTGATATAAAGAGAATTTTTCATCTGATGGAAAGACTAAAATGACGACTAACTTGTTGCATAAAACCATAATGTCCAATAACTGTGATAAAGTGCAAACATTCATCCAGGACACAAAACTTGCATATTGTTAAAACCATAATGGGAGAAAATGTTACTTTAAAGTGAAACACAAACCTGACAAATAGCCTTACAGCCTGTAAAGCCCTCTTTAAATAATAAAAAAAAAAAACAGCAATGTCAACAAGCTCTAAAGCCTCTCACTCGCCCAGCAACACATCCTGCCTCGCATTCTTAGTCACTCCACCCTCAAGGGGTACCCTCAAATCCTGACCCTTAGCAGGGAACAAGCATCCCAAACGACGCCCGTACAAAGCCTCCAGCGATTACAAGCCCCCTCCGTCAGCTAAAGAACCGGGAAGGTCAGGGGTTCAGAGTTCAAACAGTTGAAGTCCTGTCTGGGGGAGGTTGTAATCGTTTATGAGGAAGACATAATGAGCTACAAATGTAACTCCAGTCCAATAACCTATATGTGGGGGGGGGTCTATGGCGGACAGAAGCACAGGTGATGTTTCCCTTTGACCTGCATGTGGCACACATCTAATTTCCCACAACAAATATGAGACACAATTAAAACCAATACTAACTCTGGGGTTTCATTCATTTAATAAAAGTGTGTTACCCAATTTTTCGCTGCAGACGGATTCATTCATTATATGATGATAGCAAAACTGAACACTTGTATTATGTCGGATACTTAAATAGTGCTCTTGTTTTGAATAGTTCTGGAGGATGATGTCGACCCCCAAGATCAATTCCCCCATTTCCTAAAACCCTAATAGAGCTGCCTCGCCCGCTACTCTGCTCTGGTATTGAAACCATTGACTCTGGCTTATCTTTACTTTAAGAAACAACATATTGTTCACGTACGTGCACACTTGAATAAGAAAGACAATAGTGGCGAAAGAGGGGTGGTGGGGTCGTGCTGAGAGGGGGTAGCACTTTTAAGCTGAATCCACACATTTTGGATGCGGTGGGTTAATCCGGACAGGCTTTTTAGCCTGCTATTCAGGAGGACAAGGACCCCAAGGATTTGGGCTTGTCCACACCTCAGGGGTAGGGGGATTATCAAAACAGCAGGAAAGGTGGAGAGAGTATAAGGGTGGGCGATGTGGATATGTGTTTATTAGCATGGAAGCAGTAGATTATTGCAGGTGCTGCACCTCCTTGTATATCTGTGTCAGGACAAATGCAAGTCAATGTGTGTGCTTTTGAATTTAGGAGGGTTTCCCCACAACCCCCACCCCTGAAAAAAATATATACCCCAGAGCTCCGACTGGGTCACCTCTGGGGCCTTTCAGAGCCTCCTCTCAACCAACCCTAATTGATCTCACGCATTACTAGTCCCAAACATGAGATGGAGAACAGGAGGGAGATGGTTGCCCCATTGTTTGACGAGCGAGGTCCCACTACTAAAGGCTTTACACTCCTTACACACACACACACACACATGTTCCACCTATGGCATGCCCACCCACCTTCTCCCCCTATTCTCCTCTCCCTTCCTCTATGCTCTCATCTCCGGCTGTGCTAATCCATTGGCCAAGTCAGGAACTCTGTTACCCATCTGGCCAAGCATGACTCCAGCTGAGAGGGATGGAGGGAATAATGAGGGAAGCTATGGGGAGGGATTGTAAATTGAGAAACAGGAATGTGTGTGTGTGTCAGGAGGGGTGCAGTCATCAAGATGTTTTGTCTGAAACTGAGAAAGTCGTTTTAGCAACTATTACTCTGCATATATTGGAAGTAGAGAGCAACATAAAGCAGCATGGATGGAGTAAAGGGCACTAAGGTGGCGCACAAAGTAAAAACAATAAGCTTCAGTTTTTTTACCTTTCCGTATAAATTCTAACCTTTCAAAAGAAAGGCTAACTTTAAACCAGACACTATAAAAAAATGAGTGAGTGAATCATGACCTTAGAGCTTAACAAAACTTGCTAGCGCATTTCTAAACTGTGTATTGATTACAGAGCTGCACATTACATTTTAATCACCAAGAACTGTTAGCAGGTCAGAAAAATATTGAGTCTGTTGCAGGGACTTTAACAGTTGATGTACATGCTGTAAAGTGAGATGCTAAAAAAAAAAAAAATGAAAAAAAAACAAAAAAAATAAAAAAAAACAAAAAAAAATAACTTCCAATCTGCAAAGTATATTCAAAGAAAAGAAAAAATTTATGACAATAAGACAAAAACAATGGCAAAGGAATATATATGATCAAACGTTTCGCCATGAATGTTTTGCTCTTTAATCTAGTGCACTCCGGGAATCGTTTTTACGGTACTTCCAGGACCCAAAGCATCACAGATCCTCCACTGTACTTCACATGGATTACTTTATCCTCATATTCATAAATAGTTTCTTGCTTACTCCACTCTGACTGTTGTCAAAGTGCTTAATTGATTTAAATCGCCTATGCGCAAAGCTCAGTTAAAGTCCAAGAAGAGTTGAGTAAATGTCCAAACTCTATAATTTTGTTAACATATAGGTTGAATGGATCTTTTTTTATGCCTCTCATTCAAACAATAAATCAGAGTCTAGATAATTCAAATATTATGCAAATGAATTAAAAATAAAGGGTCACTATTAGCGCATGTTAGTGTTTAAACAAACTTTTTGTATTCCTCAGATACAAAAAGATTCGGGCAGATGGTAGATATTGCTTCTAAAAGACTCCAAACTAATCCCACAGATATAAATGTTAAGGTTTTTATATTCTGAATGGTTTCCCCCTTTAATTATGATCTTTGTTTGATGAGTAAGACATGGCAGAATATTTGGTGTGTTTCAACAGGGAAATCCCTGGAAATAACTGAGGGTGCACTTACTTTTTACCAAGACCATAGATAATTCTGTCAGATTAAGCAGCAGTCAAGTTTGTTAAAAACAACAAAAGTGAAAGGAATGAAGCGTAAATAAGATCCACCAGGGATGTGTTTGCACATTTCTGCTCTGCACAAATGAAACCCACAGAACAAACATGCCGACTTAATAGGTTTGAAATAAAATATTTACTTACAGACATTGCCGGTGTTGTCAAAACTATTGAGCACTTCATTAACTTTGAGGGGTCCCAGGTTATCCCTAAGAACATATAGAGAAAGGTAACACAAGGTTTAGAGCACCACTTAATTGTGAAATAAAGTTCACTGTAAATAAATATTGCAGTTCAAAGTTTTTGAGAAACTATCTTTATGATAAAAAAAAAAGATTACTGTAAGCTAAGTAAATGCAAACTTTTAACCTGGCTATATGTTCAAAAAATAATGCCTTCATATTAAATAAAAAAATAATATATTTGATTCTTTTCTCCTTTTTTTTTTTTTTTTTTAAACGTTTTCAATTTTATCACCCGAACTTGAACCTCATATATTGTCAATCCTGTAGATTCAAGAAATAACTTAAATGGAACTGATATGAACCTAAATATTGTTATTGATCATTTAACCCTATAAAGCCTGAACCAAAAAATACATATTAGAAATGTGTTTTCTAATAGAATATTACATTTTGATAATTTCAATCAAAAAAATAATGTGTATAGTTTGTGATATATTATGCTTTTCAATTTTCTGTTAGTGACATGCATCTGCATAAGTGAGAGTTTTCCAGAAAACAAATATAACACTAATGATGTCAAGACCTCAGGAACACATTTGGAGTTACGGAATAAAGTCTTTATATTAACAAACTTGAAAAGTCCTGGACATAAAAAAAAATAAATAAAATTCTAGGTAATTTCTTATCTAGTGTCTTTATAAATTCTTAATTGATCTGACCCCTCCTCTACTGTCTATACATACCCTTCAGAGTCAGTTTGATCAATAAGTTTGTTATCTACCAGATTTAGCATTTCACTGCATTGTTTCTGCTTTTCATCTAAAGGCAACTAATCAATCAAACACTTCTTGATGATGTGAAGAGCTCTAGCTCGTATATATTTAATGGAAGGGTGTGAAAACTTTCAAGCAGAACTGTGGGTTCATAATGTCTCTTTTTAAAAACAGTCTAATTATAGCCATAACCATAAGAAGTTTTCTAAAACAGTAAGAATATCTAACCATGAGTTTAAAACCTTTAGCTCAAAAATAGCTTGGTTCAGCAGCATAGCATGATAAATGGAAATATAGTGTTTTAAAAAGTCTTTATTTAAATCAAACTCAAATGTTGTAGTATAACTTTAAACACATAATTTATTTTATAAACACTAATATGGCACAGAAGTTTTTAAAACTCTACAAAGAACAACTGGAGAGGATTACAGACACACTAAAATTGCCCTTTGAGGTTAAACCTTTTTGAGCAGTTGTTTCCATCAAAGCAACACATCAGATATCAGCTTTAGGGGGAAATTAATATTTGATTGAGACCCCATTAGCTTCTATTACTTATATCACTTAAGTCTGACAAGAAAACAAAAAACAAAGAAATCTGTAAAGGTGAGACTACTTTTTAGCAGCAGTGTACACCTTTATAAGAAAATCGTGTTTAACTAGACAAATAGAAATATATCACTGAAACCTGCTCAGATTGTAATCCGTTTCCACATTTTAAGTTATCCAGTTTAGTTATCATCAGCTGTAACATCTCTAGATACTCCACAGCACATCAGCTGAACTTGATATCCAGTAACATAAATCTACTTTGCCTCTAGTTCAGACCAATTTATTCCAATTAAGCCATATAATAAGATTCTAATACAATTACATACAGTGAAGTTGAATACCAAATGAACTACAATGCAGCCCAAATCAGTGTTTAAAATCATGTAATCACTGTTCAAGTGAATTTACTTTGACTGATCTCTCTATTCGATAAGTTTTTTTGAGTTTTAAATTTACAGGTGTTTTCTGTCCTACTCAGCATTTATAATCCAAAATTAATCACTTAAGGGATCTGACATTAGTTTTCTGACATTTTGTAACACAGCAAACACTTCTAAGTCACTACTAAAACTCATAGATTGAACTCACCTTAATAAAGTCATATAAATTGTTGCAGGTTGTAACCCGGCAACAGATTCAAATTCTAGATACAGCAAAGTAAAAATCCTTTTCCTGCAGAGGCAGGTAGAGTTCCCAAAAATTGTACTCAAGTACAAGAAGCACTACTTTAACATTTTTACTTAATGTCAACCAAGAAGTCAATCAAAAAATCCCTCAAGTAGAAGTAAAAACAAAACTATTGGGTAAAAAGGCTACATCAGTACTCAGTAATTGTTGTATACTAACATCAGATTTAATGTTTAGAAATGATGCTGGCAGACAGACTTTATGCGCAAGTTCAGGTATATTAAAGACTTAAATACCTAAAGAATACAAAAAAATGTCATGAATATAAAATAATAAATTGGTGTAGAATAAATACTTTTAATAAAACTTGGAAAATCAATCTGTACAATGAGAAATACATTTATAATAGGATAAGGTAACAAACTAATGTTTACTGTATGTTTACCTGATTTTGGAACAGTTCAAATTACTCATAGAGGACAGAGTATTCAGAGATTTTACTTAAGTAGAAGTAGTGATAATTTACAAGAATATTACTCAAATAAAAGTAAAACATACAGCACAGTTAACCTGCTCCTAAAAGTCTTTTTTTTTTCAAATTGTTACTAAGTAAATGTAACTGAGTAGATGTAACCCATTACTACTCACTGCTGTTTTCCTGATTATAAAAACAACATATCAGGAAAGTATCGGTAACTGCTTTGAGTAGTGTTTTTCATTTTTTCTTATTTGAAAGAAGAGTAAAATTTTACTGTTTTTTTTTTTTTTTTTATAATATAGAATGTCTACCTGAGGAAGGCACTGTACTCAGGATAGTAGACACTTCTGTACTCCACCCACTGGTCGTCTGAGGTAACACAGTGTTCTTGTGCTGAGAGTTTTTTCCTTCTGAAAAGGTCAAAGGTGGCAAACCTGCGAACAGACACCTGCTTGACTTCTGGACTGTCTGTCTGCTTCTGACACAAAACCTGAAAGAAAAATAAAGTTTCTCAATTTTTAACATTTTCGTTTGAATTTCATTAAACCTTTAAATGCTGCTGTTTCATCATATTTAAAGGATCTAAAAGGCCAAACATCTACAAAAACAGTCAGATTAAACAAACAGTTGCATATGATTGAGATTTCTTTGTTTCTGCCGCAAAACTGTGGAAAAACCAGATCTATGTAAGAAGTGATCATTATCTTAAAACCTTTCAGGGGCTTTTAAAGCCCACCCCTACTCTCTGGCTTTTGAAATTAATAGAACTTGACATCTGAAGAATTTTTCTATTACTATGAATCATTCAGTTCATGTATTTAGAATCGTTTCCAACACCTACTGTCAATTATTTAAAAATTCTTCCTCTGCATCACTTCTGTGCAACCTGTTTGTGCCAAATCCTTTAAACCAAGAGTGATAAAGTGCAAAGTAGGAAGCCTCCTGCTGCCCCGAACCAGCTAAGGTGTGGGCTTTGCTGGTTGCCCACACCTCTAACAGCCCCACGTGAATATTTATGCATGTCTGAAATTAAATAATCGCAATTCAGCCACAAAAAAATGACAACAAATCAAACAACATCAACATCTGATCCCTCGTTTGTATATACAATGATAGGTTGATCCTTTCCATTGCATAACACATCCAGATAAGCAGTGTGCTGCTCAAAGTAGAATAATGAAGAGAATAAAAACGAGAAAGACGAAGCAGAGCTTGAAAAGTCGAGCTGGAAAGTGAGGAAAGAAAGAAAAAATTAGGCTGAATAGTCCCAGATCTCACCGTTTAGCTACGCACACTGTGGCAGCTTAACAGAATCTGTCCCTGTGAGGTCCGACTTGGACATTAAGGCTGAGTTGGAGAAGAGGCTTAAAAATGGCTTAAAGTCCACCACTGGTATAAGGCAGGTTAATAGTTTAGCCTATATTTTAGGATTCAGCTGACAGTCCTCATAACCACTATCTTTTTTGTTTGTTTGTTACTTTTGATTTAAATTCAAAAACATATGAATAAGAAAAAAATGAAATTGTAGGATTTAAGCATTTCAATCAATATGCTTTTTTATTATAATGTACTTTTGGACACCTCTCAAAATTAATCAATTAAATCATTTAGTCTTGCATGTTAAAAGATTAGGCCAAATACGCTTAATCTAATTTAAGTAAAGCTTAAGAATTTGCATCTAAGGTATAATTTTGTTAGTGAAGTAAAGCAATTTTAAAAAGTCTGTAAAGAAATATCCTTAATAGTGAGAACCAGCAAAGTAAAAACAAGGGATCATTCGAATTAATCAGCTGCTATTATATTATTATAATGTATTTAATATATATATATATATTATCTATCAACAGGTGATAGTTTTTTTTTTCCATAAATGTGTCAAAACTTGTACTTTTGAAAGAAGCAGTGAAAATAAGCATTGTGTGTGAGGTTTCAAATGTTTTTCTCTTTTTAAATCAGTCCCAGCCTGTTCCTGTACCTGTCTCAGCAGAGACCATCTGGCTCGGCCTGCAGTAGCACCACAGCTTCCTTCTCTGGAGTTAAGGGCTGCATCTCCATCGCTGTTGTCCTTACAAGGCAAAACCGGCTGGCTCTTTTCTGCAGCGTCTGTGGAGCTTATCTCCATCTTAACCACTGAATACCCACACGGATATATTTGTAAGCAAGCTCCAGGTGATATCGCTGTTACAGTAAAAAACAATACTTCTCTCACAATGTATTTATTAAAGCATGGCTTATTTTGAAATTACAAAAATCTATAAAAGCTCACAGACATGTTTCGACTCATACCTCCTGGAGCACGCTGCTTCCGTACACATTTGCCATTTCAGGCATAATAATCAACAATAGAAAACATCGATCTCGATTTTCAATTGAAACTGCTTGTTGCGCCTGAGCTAAATCGATTGCTTTGGTCTGGAATATCCGGCTGCGTCACCAGGCTAGTTTTGAGCGCTACTCCTACAGCGTTCTGCCTCCACCTTATAACACATTAATTTACCTCAACGTTGTAAATATTAATGCTTTAAATTTTTACACAAAATAGGTTAAATCTTTTTATATCAAATGCACCATTCTGCGTATAAAAGCTGGCTAATTAACCATACTATAATGGCTAATTAATGGTTAAATATCTGCAATGATTGTTTTACGTTCTCTGCTGTGCTCTGCTGTCCGCCACATCGGTGTTTCTAGTTTCTGGAAGCTTAAGGTGTCTAAAAGGAAAACAGGAGCAGCTTTGTCCGTCCAACGTAGGTGTTCTTCGGTAAGAACATTTAGAGAACTTTAATGATGCCCTTGACTTGTTGTAAAGTTACTTCCTGCTCTATTTCATATTTTTTGAAGTGGTTTATTACTGATTAATGTTCTTTCTTTAATCCTTTTTCTTTTTAAACGAGTTCTAAACAGACAGGCAGATCTGAATAATGCTTATATATTTCTACTCCCTGAGCATGTGGCCACAGATGAAAGTCACTTGCATTGTATTGTTTGCAGAAAACTGTCATACCAAGCATGCATGTGGTGACAGAGGAGAGGAAAAACCCTCCTTTAACAGGAAAAAAAACTTCCAAGTCAGGCTCAGCGTGAAAGGCCTTCTGCACAAGCCAACTTGGAGTTTGAGCAGACAGAACACACACACTGAAAAGCAACACAGAAGCACTTTCAATGTGAGAGAAAAGTGAAAAAGTTAGTTAACGTAGTATCTCCTTAGACAGATGAGCTCTGAGCCAGTATTCAAACATAGAAGATGTGAGAAAGAGAGTCCAGTGACGGTCAATTGCAGTAATATCTGAGACAATTGCTATGTCTCGAGGAGAGAGAGAGTGAACTACTCAAAGACAGGGCCAAGTGTATCAACTATAGATGGAGAATTTGAAGTTGATGGCAGCAGTAGCCCACTAGATAACCGTCTGAAAGACCGTGCCACAGCTGAACAGAATACCAGGTCAGATTTTGCTTCTAGGGAGAGGGGAAAAAAAACATTAAAAGTTGAAAAATTTAATTTTGCAAAAGTGGAAATTAGTTAGACAATGTAGCAGAGTAAAAGAAAGTGGTCATTGTGTCCTCCAGCAACATAAGCCTATAGCAGGATAACTACAGACATAACTCAGGATAACCAGATGCCATCTAACTAAAACATTTATTAAAACTGAAAAAAAAAAAATAAACCCAGTCTTCAAAGTAGGCAGGGTGTCTCCATGGACTAAAACTGCAAATTTGTTCCACAGTAGATGAGCATGAAAAAAAAAAATTTCTTTCCAACTCTGTATAGAACCGAACACATCAAAGCTTGTTCTTGTGTAAAACAATAATCCAACTGAGAGTATGGGCCAAGACTTATTGAATATATGTTAATAGATGCTTTTCATCCATCTCAACTGAGCTTGAGCTGTTTGGCAAAGAAGAATAGATGAAACTCCCCACCTCCAGATGTGCAGAGAGACAAACCTTGCAAACACTTGCAGGTGTTTGTACAACAAATGAACAATTTAGAGGGGGTGATTTAAAAAGGCATTTTTATTTGTATGATTTTTAACAATGATGCCCTACTTTGTGTTCATCTGTCACTTAAAGTTCCATTTAGATTCACTGAGCTTTTATGTTGTTAAGTAATGTAAATAAAACTGAAAAGTTCAAAGGTTTTACTTTGCAGAATTAATAAAAGTGGAGGAAAGGGATTGGATACTGCTCAACTCCGGCACTTAATTTTATTTATATTTTTAGGTTTGGCTTTATGTATTTTGAAGTGGGAGGACTTAATTAGGCCTTTAGGTCATTGATAATTTATTGCCTCTCTGTCCCTGGTAACTTTTTCTTTGTTTGTTTTTACACTTTAGGAAACTTCTGGGTTATCATCTGATCCACTGAGCTCTGGAAATGTCAAATATGAGCAGTTAAAGAAATATTTTGTAAGGAGATTAAAGGCAACATATAACAGGTTCCACAGCATACCTGATTACTCAGTGGTAAGACAGCACTCTTCTTTCAGAGATTTCATATTATTGTTACGTTTTATATATATATATATATATATATATATATATATATAAAAACTTGTTTTAATATTTCCTGTCTCAGGTATGTGGATGTCACCATATATACTTTGTTAAAGATGACGGCATCTACAGAGCAGACAAAAGAGGTAGTAAGCCAGGAGCATGTCCTTCCACAGAGAGTTTAGATCAATGTTGCCAAATATATATGATTTTTATCGTCTTCATTCTCCATATTTTTAGGTAAGCTGGAGCCTGAACAGGTGTTGAATCTGGAACATGTATCTAAGGAGGAAAGGAGGACGAAAGCAGAGAGTAGTGAGAGCTTTCAGTGGACAATTCAAAGGATTCGCCTGTCTCCACGAGAAAAGCATCTGGCTGCCACATTAAAATCTAGTCACAGAGAAGAGCTACGGTAACTTAACCAGATTTTGCTTTTATGAAAATTTGAATGTTTTACTCAAATAATGACTTTTTTTTTGTCTTGTGATAATTAAGGTGTGTTGTTGTGAGACTTTTGCCCTCCCACCACGTCCTCCTTCATCTTGAGAATGTCTTCAGCTTCGGTAAATATTTTTTTAGGAAATGATGGTGCAAAGATAGCAGAGAAAAACTAAAATACCCCAAATGAACATGAATGTAGTAGAAATAAATCCATTGCTTGTAAAATCTGGTGTTTAAATGTATTGTGGCTTTATACTTTAAATAAAATCTCACATTATAAAGCCGATTATATTCAAAATCAATAGAGGCTGCGTTTTAAACTTGACTGGTGTGTTTGTGTTCGTCTGAGAAGAGTGGGCGACGGATGACGTCCTGTTTTACACCACTTTGGACGGCCTGCGCTCCAGCTGCGTGTCTCGTCTGGACCTCAGCTCTGATTGCAGGGGCCAAATATCGTCTGTGTACGAGGAAACTCAGCCTGAGTAAGTGTTGACGATGCATCTGGTAAACAGTGTCTCTTCTATCACATAAAAGTCATCCCCTTTCCCCCTAAGTGTTTTTGTGGAGGTCGCCCTGAGCCGAGACAGGCAGATCCTCACCATCAACTGCAACAGTAGAACAAGTTCAGAGGTGATGCTGGTTGATGCGACAAAGTCCCATTTAGAGCCTTTGGTGATTCAACCACGTCAGCTGGATCTCCTGTACCATGTGGAGCACTGGAAAGGATGGCTCATTATATTGGCAAACACAGGACCAGCAAAAGAATATCAGGTAGGGTTCCAACAGCAGGTTGTCTAAATGAATATTTTCAGTGATACTAATGACTGTATTTACATGTAGCCCATTGGTTACCCTTTAACCTTTACACTTTTTTTTGATGCCATGAACAGAAAAATAAACAAGTAGTGCATAATCAAGAAAAGTGAAGCATGTTTCCACATCTTTTTATGAGGTAAAATCTAAAAGCAGCTGTGCTGTTTCATCATAGCTCTTACTGTGTGTTTAGGATTGTTGTCCTCATCAGTTTAAGTTCACAGCTGCCTCTAAGTGGCTTTCTTCCACCAATCTGTGCTTCATCAGTCACACAGCGGTGATCACCTTGCCTGTCCCTGCTGGAGAAAACTGGAGCCCACATCTTGATTCTCCCACCTCCATATTTAACTGGGGGACTGATTAGTTTATGGTTTTTTTTTTTTTTGCATGTAGGCCACAAAGAAAAGATGTTTTATAATCTCTAACACTTTTTTTCATCCGGTCTTTTAATCTTCTCGTTTGACTACGGATGTCGGACATTGTTTTTCTCGTCTATCGCATGTGTTCTGTGTCCCATAAAACAACTCATTTTTATTTTTCCAGGTTTGTTTAGTGTTCGACCAATATAGGATTTCTCTTAAAAATTCTTGAAATATTTGGGATTAGATTTTTTTTTTAAGGTTAGGTTAATCTCAGGTTAGGGGTCAGCTGTGTAGATTGATTTATAACCAGGTGAAAGTAAATAAAAACCATTTCACTTCTCTTTTTTTTTTTTCTTTTTTTTTTTTTTTTTTGTTCTGGTTTAAGAGCCAAAGCATCACTACAGGTCATTTTGAAATGTTTGCAGATTTTTACAGACATTACAATATTATGGACTGAATAATCTATAATTAGCGTAGAAGAGTCCAGTGGAAATTTTAAGCTTAGTAGCCTAGATTTTAATGTGACAGTCAGATGCACAAGTGGCCTTTATGTTACTGTAGACTGAGGCAAAAGTTTGGAGAAAATGAAGAAGACATTCAGCAAAAGTCTATGGGTCGGTATTTAAACCCAGGACATCTTTCAATCGCGGACCAAGGCTTCCTTTATGCGTCACTTGCTCACCAATCAACCGATTTAAGGTGTTCCAATGTCTAAACAAAGCTGTTTGCCCTACTGTGAATTAAAAGCCAGCCCTAGCATTGGGTTTTATAGGAGTCAGTAAACACACAGACACTAAAACCTCACTAGGCACATTTAGGTTGTTAAATGACCTTAAAATTATTCAGACTATAAGAAAATCAAAATGTCTCACTGTGTAGCCATTTAGAATGGAACATTTGTAGAGTTCCTGCTAACAGTGTTTACTAGAGTGTTTCCTGGAGAGCTCCTTCAGTGACAGGCAGCTGCACCTTAAATGCACCAGGGAGCGTTATCTCTGATCCTTCCTCCCAGCAGCTGGAAGACTTTATAACCACCACTGTTCCCAACAACCTCAATAACTTGTTACATTCATGCTGATTTTGCAAAGTTTCTACCGTAGTCAGTTAAAGAACATGTTGCTGTCATTTTGCACATCTCTGATGTTGCTGCTTTTTTCAAATATCCATTACTGTAAAAATGTCCATAGCTATATATT